TTTTGGGTTGGGGGTGTGGGGGGCCCCTGGCCTTGACCCCAAGTAGGCGTTGACCACGTTCACATTGCAATAGGGGCATCCACATCCAACGGACTTTGCTAGGTTCCCTCAAGTTTGGAACCTTGAATTGCGCTGTGCGAGCACTTACTTGTTTGAATGCTTCCCAGCATGCATTACACATCGAGCGCTGTCTCCTGCTACATCGCACAGGACAATCATGGAACACAACTCATATGCAACACAACTCCAGCAACAGGCAGCAGTAGTCAAAGAATGTCACCACGACAACAGGGAAGAACCGGTCGATGCCACAATGCGACTTCATCAAGCTCGGCCCAGTGCTGCCGCACTCAAGACCTTCTTTACTTCTGTCATGGTGGGCCGATGGCGAGGAACTATCGAGCAGCATCTCGCAGCCAGCTGTCTGATCTCAACTGGGCAGTCGCTGGGGAGGACACAGGGAGGCTGACCCTCGCTCTTCATCAGATGCACACAATTGTATGGCGTCCCTTTGCCGCCGTACGGGAATGATTGTGATGCAAGTTCATGCACGACCACCCCGAAGCTGAAAACGTCGGCGGCCATGGAAGGGTGCTCGTTCCCGTACAGCTCTGGGGCCATCCAGTGTGGTGTGCCCCCTGGGCACCTCACCGTCAGGGGCCCCGTAGACTTATCCTCAACAGAAATCCCGAAATCGGACAATTTGAGATTGCCCTCTTGTGGTAGATTCCTGTCTCCAAAGAAAAGCAGATTGGAGCTCTTCACGTCACAGTGCACCACGGGAGGATCCCTGCCATGCATATGCTCCAGCCCTTCGGCTACTTGCAGCAAGAACCTGGTCTTCGTGTTCCAACTCAGTTCCTGCTCCCTGTAAAGCGTCTCCAGGTCGCATTCCGCCAATTCCATCACCATCACGCCCGACTTGCTCACCGCCAGCAGGTCTACAATGTGGGGGTGCTTCAAAGATGCCTGGATGAAAGCCTCGGAAAAGAACTGAACAAAATGTTGAGGGTCTAGCTCAGCATTCGGAGGCAGCAGCCTCTTCACTGCCACTTTTCTGTCCTGCCATTCAGCACTATACACGACATGCCGACTGCTTCCAATCATGTCAATAAAGTGCAGTTTTCCGTCTTTCGTTATTGCCAGCTCTGACATCTTGTGGGCAAGGCAATCTTTCACTCGCGGCCAACAATACAACAAGCTTAACCCTCTACTGCTGAACCACCTTTTGAACCAGTCGAGGAAACCAACCTCATCTGCAAAGAGGTATGCAAGGCAAGTTTGCAAGAACTCCTCGTCCTCATTGACAACAGCCTCAGGCACGACAGTTTCAATTTGTATGGCTATGTTCCACCTCTTCGCAATTCTGCTCATCTTGGCACAGGCCACCTTCACGCCTTCCTCAGCTTCCTGGGCACTGTAGAATTTCTGTAGATCGAACTTTTTTGAATGGCGCCTAATCAAAGTGCAACCCAGTTCCACAGCATCCTTCAAGTCGATCCATGAGGCCCACCACTGTTGGGCATCTTGCGGTTCTGGCGGCTTACCTGGCATGCACCTCACGATGTTCTCAGCTTTCTCCATTTGCTGCAAAAGGAATCCCATCAACTTGTGATTGTATTTCAACTGAAAGGCTGCACACTCCTTTGTCTGCCTCAGGTTTTCAGATATGCGTTCTGCAATGGCCTCAATATTCATCTGCAAAAAAGAAAGAGGTCAGTGCAAAAGGTATGAAGATGGTAAGTCCCTGCTAGAATGGCAGAGGTGTGCAAATCTGACAATAAGCATGGGAAGTGAATGCCACACACATGCACTGCTGAATGCAGCTCCAGGGGACATGCAAGGGATCAATGAAATCACTCTTAAAATGTGATTTTAGTCGGGCTTCATGCCACATCAGCTGCTTTGCTCATGGACTAACAGGTGTTGCGCTCAACTGACCAATCTGGAACAGGAAGAGTAAATGCCATGCAGGCTGAATGCCATGCACTCACTGCAAGCTCATCTTGGGAACTACCACAAAGTTAGCCTTTACCAGCCCACCTCAATGCTCCAGGCCTCTGGCAGCCCCCACAGGCACTGGTTCACCTCCTCCATTGTTGGCCTCTTCAACGGATCAGCGTTGCAGCAGCGCTGCATGACTGTGAGGAGTTCTGGAGGACAATCCACTGGCCGGACCCAGGAAGGGTTATTCCAGAGAGCACTCATGTTCTGTGAGTATTGGCAAACCATGAAGGGGCATTGGCCAGTCACGACCTCGAATGCCACAAGCCCAAAGCAGTAAACGTCAGATTTGACTGTCACTTCTTGCTCAGGAGCCCTCCACATGTCTGCTTCTGCAGTCTGTCCTATTGTTGACCCGAGCAGGCCTCGCACTTCAGCACGATGACCAGTAGTTGAGTGTCCAAACTCTGCCAGCTTCACAATACACCGGTCCAGCTCACATCCAAAGATGAGAAAGCTAACAATGCTGATGCTGCCATGGATAACAGGCTCTTTTTTGGCAAGTAAATATGTCAAGCCTGAGGATGCTTGCTGGAGGAGGCGAAGCTTTACCCGCCATGGCAATGAATTCCCTTGACAAATCTGTTTCAAGTTGTTGTCAGCCAGCTCCATAACCAATTGACAGGATGCAGTGATTCCATGCAGCTGCACCACGTGTGGATGAGATAATGATTCATGAATTGCAGCCTCTCTGATAAAGCAAGCCAAGACTTCGTTTTGCCTTGCATTGCCTGGGCTCACCACTGGCGCCCCAAGCACACTTTTGACTGCCACAGGTTCATCATCCCACCAACCCTTGTTCACCACACTCTCAGCACATTCATAGAATATAGAACCCAGTGCCACTTCATCAGTGTCAATTATTCTCCAGCCCTGCATTTCGCATTCAAGCTGCTGCCGAACATGATCCTTCTTTTCAGACTGTGTGCCACCTTCTGCAGCACCCAGTACATCTGCAAATGTGGCCTGAAGAATGCAGTACAGTGAGTTGTCAGAAGCACACGCTTGAGACAATGCAGGTAGGTCAAAACTCCATTCGCGATGATAGTACCAAGTGGCTCGTATTTCATCCAACAGCTGTGCAGGTGTGTAGAAATTCTTCACTTGAAAGGGCAAAGAATGAACAGCCAGCAATCTCCTCCACACCCTGAGAGGTGGCATTTTGCCTCCTCTGAGCTGCATTGCCCTGTCCATCAGAAAACTGCCGTATCCGTCTGGCGCAGTCGGGCGACCCATGTTAAGCACTCCGACCTCCACCTCGCACATTACATCTTCAGCTTCTAAATCTGACGATGCCACCTGCTCAAACTTGTCCAGCTCCCTTTCAAAATGATCCATTGTCTTATTGTTGTAGACAAACCTCTGTTCATTGCTCTGTGGAACATGTCACATGCAAGTAAAGAGAAGATCAGAGTGCTGACCCAGGACAATGCATAGGAAAACTACCATTCCAAGATGCCTTGCAAACCCGTCCTGTACATCAAAATTCTGCTCAAAATGCTGATCAAGAAAACTGTGGCAACTATGCAAGGAACTGTGCTGCCGCTCTGGGATGCAATGCTTTCTCAATCAAAATACTGCTGCACCTCACTTGGTTGGGAAAACAGCAGCTGAGCTTGAAATGCTGATGCATATTCAGCATTTCCCCAATTCACTGGATTACTCAAAACAAACACCCACCTGGTCCCAGTCCTCCTGCAGCCCCTGAAGACACTGGTTGACCTCTTGCATCGTTGGCCTATGTGAAGAAACAGGGTCACAGCAACGCCTGATGAGCTTATGAAGCTCAGGTGGGCAGCCCACAGGTTGGCTTGGGTCAAGCAAGGGATCCAGAGGGCTGTACGGGCATCTGCCAGTGACAATCTCAAATGCCACAATTCCAAAACCACATACATCTCCCCTCATACACTCAAGACTCCACACATCATGGCGCCACAGATCTGGGGGATAGTATGCTGCTAGCTTAACAGTGCAGCTGTCAGCTTCACCAAAAAATATGATGAAATTACGCGTCCTGACTCTACAATGCGCGATGGGTTGCTCCAGTGTGTGAAGGTATGTCAATCCTTCAGAAGCCTGCTGGAGGAGGGACAACCTAAGTTTCCATGGCAGACACCTCCCTCGGCAAATTCGCTTCAAGTTGCTGTCACCCATTTCCATGATCAACTGACATGACTTGGTGATTCCATGCAACTGCACCACGTTTGGATTTGCCAGCGATGCTTGTACTGCAGCAGACCGAAGGAAAGCTGCCGATGATCGCACAGACTGCTCCTGCTCCGGAATCCTACCCAACTCCTGCCAGTGAACTACTGCTACCTTTCTATTATTCCATCTGGCTTCTTGCAACACAACAGTAGCTCTTGGTGAGTACAATTCTGGAAAACCATCCACAGGCCAACTATGCAACAACATCACCTCATCACTATCTATGATCCTCCAGGTCTCCATTTCATTTTTGAGCTGCTGCCCGATTTGAGTCCTTCCTAGAAATTGTGTGTGGATGCCCTTGACCACACACTCAAAGGTGTGTTTCAGTTGGGTGAACAGCTGACTGTCTGACTCGAATGCAGTCTTCGTTTTGTCTGACCTTTGTCTTACACCACCAATATAGCCAATTGCACTAAACACCTCTGTTGGTGTGTAGAAGTGCCTGACATTAAATGGCAATGCATGCACAGCCAGCAGTCTCTTCCCAACTGCCATCCTGTCATCATCCAAGCACATTCTGGGATCGTCCAGAATCTCCTGCAGGAGGGCCATCAACTCTTGGTTGTAAGTGAAGCAGTCCTGCACCAAATGACAATTGTTTCTCAGACACATATGCTGCAGAAACACGAAAGTGGAGCAACAAATTGAAGCTCACAATCAGCAATGCCTGCAACGCCGTTCCAAGCACATGACTGCTCCCTTATCAGAATCTGGCATCAAATGCTGCACGTCGGACAAGTTTGCTGCAGAAAAATCGCGCATATTTCGCACTCAGGCCACTGCGCAAAAACTAACTTCCGGATGAATGTTTTGGCTGCGTCAATTCTTGTTCGGCCGTGAACCCCAGACACTGCGGGCACTGGGCGCCCCTTCGTTTGTCAGCTTGAGCGGCGACTGTGAGGTGCAGTGCAGCTTGCAGAGCAGCAAACGCCGCGAAGGGCCGTTGGGCTCCCCGCCAAGTACTCCGCAGCACTGGGCGCCGCTGCTCTCCACCTCAAACTGTACTTGGTCAACCGCGCTTCCAGCGCCTGGACTCGTCGCTGCTGCCGCAGTCCACGGCCGCCAACTAGCGGCTCGCGCGGCGAAAGCCTACACAAAGAGCGGAAGGCACGCTGCGGCGTCGCGCCGCGGCAGCGTGGCCACCACGATGTGGCGCCATGGTTGTTGCCGCTGCCGCGATTTCGGTCGATGTGAATTTGAGCGCGGCGGAGTATTTCGCGGACAAAGGTCCGCGGAGGAAAAATTTGTCGTGCACTGTTGAGTGCCCGAGAACATTTCCTCGCGAGCGTCTTTTCTTGCGAAATGCGCGAACATTGCTCCGCTCAAACAGCTTTTCGGTGAGCAGTAGCTTTGCGAATGGATCCTTCAATTCTGTTACAGCACACAGATGTTTCAACAGCATTGCATCATGCAGCCGAGCATTGCAAGCAAACCGACGGTGCACATACTTAGGTGCAGACAAGGCTGGTGGTATTGGCGAATACCTTAAGTGTGCAGTTTTCAAAACCAGTGGGGCACACAATCTGCGCAATTTGCTAGTCAACACGAAAAATCGAAAACTGGCAATGCAGACCAACATGATTGTCCCATACCACCCGCCGGCCAAAGTCGGTTGTGCTCCAGGCAGATTCTTGCGGGATGTACCAAAACGTGCCGTGTCTCAGCAAGGAATGCATAACCCAACTGATGGGGCGACCCTCAGTTGGTGGAAGGCTTGTACCCAGCTGCTATTCACTCACCGATGCCTGTCCTGGGCTGCCGCTGGATTCAGCCATTTCCCATGCGCCCCCTGTCCGATCTGACCGTAGAATTTTGCAATGTCGCGGACGGCAGGAGGCGGCGAGGCTCCCCTTCGACCAGAGCGCGACCACCGTGCCCGAAAGCGGTTCCGAAACTGGCGACACCGCCGGGTGATCTGACACTGCACGAAGATTCACAACTCAGCAAACGTGCGGATTTCTTTCAAAGACAGAATCCCCGCGCGTTTGCTCCACCAGATCGGCACGCTCGACGCGGTCTGAAGTCTCGTGCTGCACCCGGGGAGGGAGGGAGGGAGGGAGGGAGGGAGGGAATCTTCAGGGCAGGGATGTGTCCCACAATGAATATCCAACAGGGCGCCGACACCAGACACCTCGAGGATCCTTGCTTCGATCGCGCCCCTCGCAGCATGGCCGTCAGTGTGGCCGTCCTCGAGCGTGGGCGCGGACAGGCCCAGCGCCGCGCTCCCTGAAACCCAGCGGGCCCAGGGAGCGACTCACCAGTGCGATTCTCCACTGCTCTGCCATGTGCCATGTATATAATGTCAACACCGCTTTGGCTTTTCTCCGCCTCAAGCTACACCGCCAACCACCCCTTAAAATCTCCTCTACCGATACGATGCTGATGCTGGTCCTTGATCCCGGGACGGGTTTCGGAGCTACACTTGACAAACCCATTCCTGCTTCCCCTCACCTCCCAGCACAGAACCGCTGGCTGTTACCCCCAGCGCATTCCCCGAAGGAGCCAAGCTTTGGGACCCAAAAGTGCCTCCTCTCTTGGGAACCTGACCCCATTTGCTAGTGGCTTGCAGAGGCTGCAACCTTTGACAATGTCGTAGGCTGCGCAATTTGTGCCAGAATACCGGCTCCCTTCGATGGCAGCTCCCGTCTCCGACCAAGGATTCACAATCTTTCCGGCTCGCTCTTCCTTTTGCCCTGTCCCTAGACCCAGAGCGAGTGAACGCGCAGCGGACATTCGGCAACCCTCTCAAAATCCCACCGTGCCATTAACCAGAAGTGGAGATCCCATAGGGTCGCGCAAGTGATGTGCACACGATGCATTCAAAGGGAGGATGTGGGGCGGAAATAATATTACTGCCTGCACCAAATCGGTGACTGGCTGCACTAAATCACGTGCACACTATGTCCTAGCCTTTAGTTTTAGGGTGAGTTTTAGGGTTGGGATTAGGGTTGGGGCAGGTTTAGTTTTAGGTTTTGGGTTAGGTAAGTTTTGGAGGGGGTTGGTGCAAGCAGTCACCGATTTAGAGCAGAAAGTCACCGATTTGGTGCAGCCAGTAATTGTATGCCATGTGTGTGTGGTGTGTGGTGGTGATGGTGGGGGGGTGGGGGTGGGGTGGGGGGGGGGCCGGGGGAAGGGGAGCAGAACCGCAGGAAGTTGTTGTAGGGGGACCACGCGGCAGCCAGCTGGACTTAGCGTTGGCACACCTCTATCGAACGGCAGGTGCTTTGCTAGCTCCCGAGTTGACCACGGCCGATCGTCCTTGTCCCACGTGCTCGTGAGCCCGATGGTTCAGCAACTCACGGATTCATGGGAAACTCCCCTTGGGCGCAACATACAAGCCACTTGCATGCGGTTTCAACCCCCATGATCATGGTGTATATAATCTATATTATCATGATAATATACAATATATTATACTACATATTATGCTACATATAATAATTGTATATAGCACTATATAGTGCAGGCGTCAACATGCCTTCACAGCTGCCTTGTCAGTTGAAAACGCACCGATTGGCAGGAGGCGCACTGAGCCAACAAACGGATGGGGAGCTCGCTGAAAGAATTAATTCAGACAGTTCGATATTGAACTGCCTGAGGCGGCGGCTTGCGGCTTGTGACTGTAGCCTTGGGCCTGGCATCCCCCAGTCAGGTCCACATGGTTACACGCCACCCCGGACTTGTATGTCTGAATACTTGGCGACCCATGCGGGTACGCTGGCAACACGGAACGCCGGCGGCGGCCGAACCGCTAGCCTTTCGTGGCGGCCGTCTGAGCCCTTCCCACCGCGCAACTGCCCGCCCGTCGAAATTCGAATCCAGGAATCGGCGTTGTGCGGTTGGGCAGGCCAGTCAGAAGGTAGACCCCTCATGGGTTCGGAACAGCGCATTGTAGTGACTGGACACCGTACTGTACATTGACGGGTAATTAGATGACTTAGATGAGTTAGATGTGTTCATCTGAGTCTAGAAATGTGTTAATCATGATCGCCACGTTCATCTTGTTAAATGGGCCAATTTTCGGTATAATGAGGTCATTAAGGCAATTTAGGTCATTTAGCCCATTTCTGGCCATTTGAGGCATTATTTCTTGATGGAACCGGTGTGATGATGAACATTATAGCCTATTATGATGTAGTGCGCGGTCATGGGCGGAAGGGAGCCGCCAGGAAGTGGTGGAGTACACTCCAAGGGATTATGGGGTTGATCCGGCAGTACGGGCACCTGTCAGATACCCGCATTACATTGGATCACAGGTACAAGCGCCCCTACGGCCATGGTACATTGGAGGGACGTGGTATAGCTTGGGGAAGCCGCCTGGCATTACTAGAGGCATGCCAAGGGGCCAAGGGACCATGCGAGTGGCTCTCCAAGGGCCGAGGTGACCTTACAGGAGGCCGAGGGTGGCATGACATGAGTGTATTGGACATTACAGGAGGCCGAGGGTGCCATGACGAGAGGGGGAGCGCGCTACCTATAAAAGTGGGCACCCCATAGGCTATTTGTCTCAGTTCGCCGGTGCACTCGACCTTGTCTGGACCAGGGGGCCCACCACCATTGTAATACATTGACCGAAGCTCCGCCGATTGTCTCATTTGGTCGCCATCATCCTGGGGGATTCTACAGTGGTTTCGGAGCTGAGCGACCAAGAGCATCAAAGGGGCAATCTACCATCTCCATGGCGCACCATGATGGTCAACCAGTCGTGATGGGAGAGGAGGAAGCTCGCCAGGCGGAAGAGCGTTATCAAAAGCTGATGCAGGAGGTCAACCAGACCCGCGAACGGAATCAACAACTGGAGCGGGAGATGGCCATGCTGCATGAGGAGAGGCAGGCTGCCGAGTATCGAGGTGGCCGTCGATCTCGTGCTCTAGCTCGGGATATGGCCGAGTTGACTGCCGAATTGATTTCCGGTCGTGGAGTGGCACCAATGGGCGTGAAAGTGGAGAAGCCTGAGACCTATGACGGTGCCAAGCATCGTGATATCGACACATGGTTGTTCCAAGTGGAGGAGCATGTCGTTGACTGGAATACCTGTTGCCTCTCGTGTTGGATATGTTGCATCGCTGTTGAGGGGTCATGCTGCCATGTGGTGGCGTGAGTTGTGCGAAAGTGGCAATCGAGTGAACGATTGGGACGAGTTCAAGAGGGATCTGCGTCGACAATTCCGAATGGATAATCTGATTCGCCGGGCGAGGGATGAGCTGTATGCCCTCCGGCAAAGGGAGAAGGAGCCTGTGTCGGACTTTCTGCATAAATTCCGGCAAGTGTGTATCCGGATCGACGATCTCTCAGAGGCGGAAAAGCTGGACAAGTTCCTTCGGGCTTTGAATGTGAATGTCCGGATGCAAGTAGAGTTGAAAGAGCCAACAACGTTTGAAGAAGCTGCAAGTTATGCTGACCGAGCCGACAATGTGCTTACTCGAGTCTCTGGCCAAAGCGCGAGTGGAAAGCCAAGTTGGTTCAAAGGCAATTCGTCGCATGGTGGATCGAATGTTGGTGGACCGCGGACCTTTTCAACCGAAGTCGTCTGGAGGACCGGAGCCAATGGAAATTGGAACAAGCTACGTCCAGAGGAAACCTTTGACTCCAGAAGAGAAGAAGTACCTTCGAGACAACAAGGGGTGCTACTGCTGCCGCAAGGTCAACGCAGGACACTGGAGCAGGGACTGTCCCATGAAGAAGAACAAGTCTGGAGGAAGGCAGGGAAACTTCAGCGGTCGTTGAATATCGGGGACAACGACCGGACAACACCCGACTCAATGAAAGGGCCAGATGACAAGGATGGCCAAGTGATGGTGGCGGAAGGGACCGAGATTTCGTCACCGGCTACTCTTGAAGATGCTGGACCCACAGAAGTGTCAGAGCCAGTGATTGAGTATGGGTTTATCGCTCGGATTGTTGAGAAAGCTGGATCTGACCAAGCAAGAAGCATGCTACGTTTTGAAGCCCCGTGGGCGGACGCCGTTCCTAGAAGGGAGATGGTACATGAGGTTGCCGCTGCAACTCATGATTGGGCTGGTGTCTCTGATCAAGATACCAACAAACCGGGATGTGTTGAGTCCAGATATGCAAGTCTTCCGGTAGACACACATCAACTTGGAAGTGTTGAGTCCGGAGAAGCGAGTCTTCCGGTAGACACACTTCAACCAATCTGTCCTCAAGAATCCACCTCTGAAAAGGATGTACCTGGCGATGGCGATACCTGTGAGATGGAATGCTACGTTGGGAAGTCCGTGGACAAGGCAGAATCAGGTGTGTCAATGTCAGTGACACAACTGTTGTGTATTTCGGGAGAAGTTAATGGCATCCCTGTCAAATTTCTGGTGGACAGTGGAGCCAGTGGAAACTTCATCAGTGAGCATCTTGTGAGTGAGATGACTTGAGAACAGTGAGAAATCATGAAAAGATGCAAGTGCATTTGGCGGATGGATCAATGAGAGCATCCAATCGCATTGTGAAAGATGCACAAGTGAGCTATGAGGAGCATGCCGAGTTTTTGGATTTCCATGTGATGAAACTTCCCAAGTACGATGCCATCTTGGGGAAGTCATGGTTGGATAGATGGAATCCGAACATAGATTGGAGAGCCGGCAACATAAGCATTCGAGTGGGGAAGAAGACGGTCGTTTTGAAGAGCGACTACCCTACAAAGGAGTGTGCCAAGCTTTCAAGTATCTTCGGGAAATGGGCAATGAGTATGCAAGTCTCAGCCCAGAAGATGAAGCGGCTTGCTCGACACGAAGACATGTATATGGCCATTGTGAGGCCAATC